ATTTAGCTCTTTATTTACTAGTACTGACTGACCCCTGAGCTGGGATAGGCTCCACCCACTCCAGGCTTTTAGATAAGTGGAAGAGATTGGATGGATGGACTGACCCCTGTTGAGCCCTCAGCTGAATTACAGCTCATTTCTATACAAAGGACTTAATAGGAACGCCTTCCCTGGATTCAGTCCAAACAGAAGAAGGAACGGTGACCATTGTTTGCAGTTGTGAAGCCTAAACTGCACAGCGAGGCAGATGATTATTAATCATCAAGGGAATTTGGGGGGATGTGAGATGAAACCAGAAGAAGAGCAAACAGCGTCAGGGTTTTCAAACTGGTTGAAGAGCATTAGCATGTTTCATTTTTGGTTAAAAATGTGTAAATCAGCGCGGGGATCCTCTATCTTTGAAGCTCCTTTGGCTCCTTGTCTGGAAAACAATAAGATTAAAAAGCTGCATTTGTAACCAAATTCCTCTGGGGGTGGAAAATGAATCGACGCTGTCCATTGTGAGGAGAACACATCTTCATCTCTGACTCTGAAATAGTTGCAGAGTTTGGAACTGCAGGACAACTGCTGTGTTTCAGTACTTTAATGTCTGTTCCACATCCAGCCCTGAGAGAGGGGGCTTGTATTTTCCTTATCCAAAGGCCTTTGCACTTTTCCACGCACTGCCAGACACCCACACACTCTCACTCAAATCAAATTAAAAATGTCACAAGGCAATCCGCACAGTTAACAGCAACCTCGGGAGCTCCATTGTCTCAGTAATTCTTTCATTGTTCGCTGTAATCTGTCTGGGTATTGTCTGAACAAATCCATAACACACAGGATAATCGAGCGCACAGTTGACCATAGAAAACACATTGTTCGTCAGGGAGGACACGAGACATTTCCTTGACTTTCCTTTGGCGTGTTTGTCATTAGAAAAGTCAGGATATCTTTCATTTGGTTTAACTACACGGCAGTGCAGCACGTTTCTGGCGGACCGTTCCCATTGGCTCCTGCTTCTGCCAAACAACACAATCGCTATGCTGCAGTCGTAGCCAAATACTCACAGCTGGAGTAATTAGCCACTTCTTTATCTCACACTCACTCTTCATTTGCATAATTTTGACACATCCTTCCCCCACGATACTGAGATACCATTTTCCTGCTTATCCACTCCTGTCCTCGTTTTCTAAACTCTTTTAATTCACTCCCATTCTTCCCTCAGTTTGCGCCGCTGCTTCTCCTGTGGCACACTTGCACGCCGAAAAGAGAGAGATAAAGCGAGCATACAAAAATCAAAACGAGCCATCTCTTTCCTGTCTCTCACTGACCGCTGCCTTCTGATTCTTTTCAGACGCGACAACCTGCTGGGTGCTGATAACAGGATTAATAATGCTGAAAAATCCTAATCGGGGGGAATTAAAAATGCAGTTCTCTCATTAAAATAAGCAGCGCGTCAGTGGTGGCACACTCAGGTCTGCTGAGCAGGCTTTTCACACTACTAATGAATTACAGCGTAAGGGATTTACACATGTATCTGTAGCTTGTCAGACAATATGGATAGGCAGTCATCTCTGACATACTTTCAAGCATTTCTGTAGGATTAATTGAAATGTAGCCTAACTGTGAAGCTTTGCCTAAAGCCGCTGACTGCTG